TAATCACAGGTTTTCAACAGTCAAGGACCATTTTTTTACCAAGCTAACCTGGCTCCCAGTATTGTACACTCCTGGTAAAGCAGTGACATTGGAATAGAGAGCAATTTTACTAACCTTCCATCAATTGCACACAACACAACATGAGTACATGAATACCATCCTCCTGAAATTTTATTATTATTATATATAAATTCTCATTTCTTGATTTCTCAGGAACCCTCTTGGACAAGCTTCTTTTGTTGTAGAAGTTTTGATATCTTCTATCTTAGGTATCATGTCTATTTCTGTTCTTAATTCAATTTAAACAATTTTATTGATTCTTTCAATCAAATTTTACAAGGGAGAAAATATAAAAGAGTAAAAGGGCATATAAAGTGTAGGGGAATATATATACAAATGTCTTCAGCAAGGAAGGCTTCCCCACCTTGAGAGAGTCCTCCTCCAGACAAGGAGGGGGTCTTCTTGTACACTCCTCAGTTCCGCGCCGAGGAAGTACCTATAGATTTGCGTCTTGGCAGACGCCAGGATGGCCAGGGCGTCATCGTCTAGGCCATGCCCAAAGACCCAGCCCTGCAGGTTTCTGTTCTTAATGTCATGACCTCAGAGTAAAAAATTTGTACATTGAGCATTGAATTGATAAGGCACAATTTGGATTATCTCTATATATATATAAATGAGAAAAAGGCATACTCCTTATCGTGCAACTGAAAGTTGCTGATGGCTGGCGCCATCTATCGGAATAAATATCAACTATTCTCGTTGATTTTTAATTATTCCAGAATTGGCCAAATACCCATTCTTGATTGATCAAGAAAAGCTAACCACGGACGCGTTTCGGGCTGTTGGCCCTCATCAGCGTGGTGCAAGCTGTACCTCAACGACCAAAAAAAGGTCATTAAGGCATCCTGAAAAATCATGAAACGGGTAGTTAAGGCCAGAATTGCGTGAGGACGCTACACAATGTGAAAAAATAGTACAAATGTAACAGTTGATATTTATTCCGATAGATGGCGCCAGCCATCAGCAACTTTCAGTTGCACGATAAGGAGATGCCCTTTTCTCAATTTATACACCTTATCCCAGTACAATGTTACATTTGTACTATTTTTTCATATATAAATGAATGTTTGTATGTTTGTCTGTCTGTATGTCCAGTATACAAATTCGCAATAGTTCACTAATTCAAACCAAAATTTCCATACATAGGTAAAAGAATATGGGGAAGGCGATAGACTATTTTAAAAAATATATAAATCAATTATTAAAACTATATATTTTTAGTCAGAAAATGATGATGACGATATTGCTGTATCATGTTTGATTATCAGATACAAAATTTTATCGGGAAAAATTCCAAAAAGCTGAGACCACGGGTGAAACCAGTTCATTATTTTGTATACAGGAACAAAATTCTAACAGAAAAACATTCATTCGAGCAGAAAACAAAAGTCAGATCATCTTTCTATAAAAATATTGCTTCTCAGACACAAAGTTTGGAGCGGGACGTTTTACAAGAGTGACATCAACGGCGCCAATTTATAATTGTAACGAATAGTATTTGAATAAAAACATTTAATCGGGTAAAACCTGGGCGTTGCCCGGGTCATTCGGCTAGTATTATATATAAATACTCATTTCTTGATTTTTCAGGAAGCCTCTTGGACCAGCTTCTTTGGTTGTAGAAGTTTAGGTTAGGTATCATGTCTATTTCTGTTCTTAATGTCATGACCTTAGAGTAAAAAAAATTGTACATTGAGCACTGAAATTTAATAACCTAAATCAAAGTGATAACCTCAATATAATAGTAATGAGTAAAAAATACTTTGGGAGGGCTTGACTGGTCAGTGGTGATTAAATTGATGAAACTGCTGGAAGGGTTCACCACTGATGTAAGCCAAGCCCTTCCAATGTATTTTTCATCGCAATAAAGATAGTAATAGTTTGTTTTATATTTACAAGAAGCACTAGTGCATTAATGTCTTCATTTCTTGATAAGGCACAATTTGGATTATAGATTATAAACACATGGTAATAAGACCAAATCCAAATAAATAAATAAATAGTGTTTGATGTTTCGGTAACAACGTTGAAACGTAACACACTATTTATTTATTTGGATTTGGTCTTATTACCATGTGTTTCTGGATTTCTTGTATATAGATATTTATGCAGAACTCTAAATTTTCTTTTTTTTTTTAAATGTCCAATGTACATTCACAGGTTGGTACTGAATCCTTCTTCTATGAGGTTGGAAGTAGAATCAATCGCGTCTGCTAGAGGATAGTTTTATGCAAATTTGACCTATTTTGCAATTTCTCTTAATGATGTCTGCCGTCATTTTTGAGAGGCTTATCAAGCTATCAGAGTTCTGAAGCATTATATCCAAGAATAACTTCCCAATCTTTCTAAATGTGGGTCATCTATAATGGACCTCAATAGATTTGTCTTGATATGTATAGTCTTTTTTTATTATTTTAATTCTGTGTCTCTCTTAAATTAACCTTTTTATTCTATTTACCCCATTATATTTGTACTTAGATTCTACTACAGTAGAATCTCCCTGTAAAGGACAACACCAAATTTCAGAGCCAAAGTGTCCTTTAGTGAGAGGTGTCCTCTTACCTATATATTTGTTCTTAGATTCTACTACAGTAGAACCTCCCTATAAAGGACAACACCTAATTGCAGAGCTGAAGTGTCCTTTAGGAAGATGTGTCCTCTTACCTTTATATTTGTTCTTAGATTCTACTACAGTAGAACCTCCCTGTAAAGGACAACACCTAATTGCAGAGCCAAAGTGTCCTTTAGGGAGAGGTGTCCTCTTTCCTTTATACTTGTTCTTAGATTCTACTACAGTAGAACCTCCCTGTAAAGGACAACACCTAATTGGAAAGCCAAAGTGTCTTTTAGGGAGAAGTGTCCTCTTACCGGGGAGTTGCTAAATTGTAAAAATGGTAATTTTGCAAATGAAAACTGTTCTTTATAGAGAGGTGTCCTCTAATGCGAGTGTCCTCTCATGGTTCTACTGTGTATACTGTAGAACCATCTCCATTAGAGGAAGGAGCCAACGCTAAAATTGGAACATTTTTCTATTTCAGAAGAACTCTAAGGATCCATTTGAGCCCCATCTGTTATAAGTAATTGAAATGATTTTTGACACATATGATTCTTTTCAAAATAAAATGATTTTCTATTTCCCTTTACTGACCTCCCATTATTTTATCATTGCAGTAAGGAAAGTAGAAAAGTATTTTATTTAAAAAAGATTGATACATGTCAAAAAATAGAGGAACTAATGTCTGTAGGAAAATGAGGAGGGGATGGTGTCATGGGTGGTTGGTTACAATAATGTGTCTGGGGTGGTTAGTTCCATTAGGAAGGTGAATGGTGATGGCAGTCGCTAGACACAGCCAAACCACATGTCTGGTCACCCACTTTGTCAAATATCACCTATTTATACTATCTGTGCAAATACATATATGACACCTCTCTACATTTAGAACATACTCCATGAGAGGACACCTCCCTACAGTAAGGAACTCCATGAGAGGACACTTCTGTTAGAGGACACCTCTCTAATGTAGAACCTCCATGAGAGGACACTTCCACTAGAGGACACTCTAGCTAGAGGACACCTCTCTACAGTAGAACCTCCATGAGAGGACACTCTTGCTAGAGGATGCCTCTATACAGTAGAAAAAACTCCATGAGAGGACACCTCTTCAGTAGAAAAACTCCATAAGAGGGCATTCCTGCTAGAGGACACTTCTCTACAGTAGAAATAACTCCATGAGAGGACACTCCCGCTAGAGGATACCTCTCTACAATAGAACATACTCCATGAGAGGACACTCCTGCTAGTGGACACCTCTCTGCAATAGAACCTCCATGAGAAGGCACTCCTGCTAGAGGACACCTCTCTATAAAGAACAGTTTTCATTACCAAAATTACAATTTTTTTTTTACTAATTAGCAACTCTCCAGTAAGAGGACACCTCTAACTAAAGGATACTTTATCTCTGTAACTAGGTCCTTTACAGAGAGGTAGTTCTACTGTAGCAGTTTTTTGTTCCGAGGCCTTGGAACCCAGATTATCCCTCTTACATATGAGTTTCAAAAGATAGTTTCTTCTGCTTCAAACATTACAATGGGCTGATAAGGCACGATTTGGATTATAGATTATAAACACAAGGTAATAAGACCGAATAAATTAGTGTGTGACATTTCGGTAACAGCATTGTTACCATCTTCAGACTAAATGCTGTGGTAAAATTTCTCATTCAGTACTTTTGTCTGAAGATGGTAACAATGCTGTTACCGAAATGTCACACACTATTTATTTATTTGGATTTGGTCTTATTACCTTGTGATTACAATGGGCTGTCTTTCATGGGAATAGGCATGATACTCTGTGGGATCAATGTTCTCTGTCTCTGCAATCTTGTAAGTCATGGTAGAAGGCCAATGTCACCAGAAGCTGGTCACTGACTCCTGATGTGTGGTGAGCAGTCGGTGAAGCCAAGAAGTGGAGTCTTCTGTTTCCTCATTGTGGAAGCCCGGGAGACCACAGCTCTTGAGATGCCGGACCATGAGAACACCTTTGTTCTGAAGGTAGGTTCCTATCTTTGAGGGAGACAACACTTCTTACACAAAGATGAAAACAAACTCATCTCCACAAAAATCTCTTGTATTATTCAACATAACCTCTTTCTAGATACAAGAAAATAAGAGTTAATCCAAATAATTTAATAGTTTGTGACGTTTTGGTAACAAAGCTGTTACTGAAACATTACAAACTGTTAAATTATTTGGATTAACTCTTATTTTCTTGTATCTATATAATCTATAATCCAAATTGTGCTTTATCATAACTTCTTTCTTTCTGATAAGGCACAATTTGGATTATTCTTTATACAAGTATCAGAGTCATCAACAATCAATTCTGTCATCGTTTGCTTTTGTGAATGGAATAAATACCCAAATATGGCCATTTCTTATAAGCATCGGTGGTTCAGTGGTAGAATGCTCACCTGCCACGCGTGCGGCCCAAGTTCGATTTCCGGCCGATGCATTTTTTTTTTACAATTTTTAAAACTCATTTATATTATCCCTATATATATAAAAGTCAGTGTTATGTATGTATGTTTGTCGGCTATACACATCAACAGTACGTAACTAATCTGGCTGAAATTTTAACAGTATATAGAGTTGAAAACTTATAGGCACATTTTAAGGCTTCTATCTCAAATATTCTTGGAGTTATTAACAAATTAGTAACAAATTTTCACAATTTAACTCACAACCAGGGCCTCACTGCGGTAACTCTGTCAATTATGTCAAGGACGTGTGCAGTGACCACATGCCCACCATGGCACGACGGGGATTGGTGTATGGAGGGGGGTGGAGCGGGATGTTTCACAAGAGTGATATAGATGTAATAATGGCGTAGGGATAAAAAATCACTTGCTATATTCAAATAAGTCGATTGTATATGTATTTATCAGTTTTAAAATATATTCACATAAAAATCTAAATGATTCAATTTTCAAATATCGTTGTGAAAATTTACATTTTTATTTTTTAAAACACACAGTTTGGAGCGGGACATTTCACAAGAGTGACATCCACGGCGCCAATTTATAATTGTATCGAATTGTATCGAATGTGTTCTTAGCAAGTCTTTTCATCTCTTTGAATTCCAGGCTATTAAATGACTTACCACAATTTTTTAAAGAATATATATTTGCTAGTCTTCTTCTTTCTTATCTCCACTCAATCATATCAGGGTATCAAGCCCGTAAAGCTTGAGACTTTTGATGGTGTCTGCTGGGGAAGAGTAGAGCTTATCAATGGATGAGTCAATACAGTCAATGATGTCTTCTTCTTCTTTCTTATCTCCACTCAATCATATTAGGGTATCAAGCTTGTAAAGCTTGTTGATGGTGTCTGCTGGGGAAGAGTAGAGCTTATCAATGGATGAGTCAATACAGTCAATGATGTCTTCTTCTTCTTTCTTATCTCCACTCAATCATATTAGGGTATCGAGCTTGTAAAGCTTGTTGATGGTGTCTGCTGGGGAAGAGTAGAGCTTATCAATGGATGAGTCAATACAGTAGCAGGTTTGCTAATTATTTGTTACAGTTAAATACATAGGTATTTAAAATATGTAAATAATAATTTGTGTAAAAATAGTATTTATCATTAATGTGTTAATGTGATGTTGAAGGACTGATAAGTTCAAAAGATGGAAATAAAAGGTTTACACAAGAAACTAAGCCCTGGAAGCTTTATTTATTTTATACTATTATAAATAAGGGAAATAGGGTTGTTGGAAGGATGTTCTAAACTGTTGGTTTTCAACCACAACGACCCGGGTTCAATTCCTGCATTGGGAACTTTTTTCCTGATTAAAAAAAAAAAATTCTCCAATGGCCCCCGATTCTTGCAAAAGTCTAACCCCACCAGCAAATGCAAGTAACTAAACGGGCTTTGGTGTAGGTACAGTGCAAAGTCGAACTGTTTTTCACATGCGTAGACATGTAGTGTCCTTAACAGTAAAAGCATTCGCCTACTTCAACCCACCATGATTATCATGGCCTGTTCCACGTGTATTTTTTTTTTTAGATAAGAAAGAAGATAAATCAGGCAAGAATGCTTATTGTTAAATCCAATACATCTTCAAGGCCTCTCTCCGTCTCAACCCAATCTTTCACAGGTTTACATACCTACCTATCTCCCATGTACAGTATTACATGACCATATCATACTTGTTATAATTTAATCTTCTCTCCTTCTTCTTTCTTATCCCCACTCAATCATATCCTACAGGAACTGCAATAACTGTCACAACACCCAACTCACTTCGGACCATATATACCCGGCCATCCTTGCAGCCCTCTATATGGCAGACAACAATCCAGAAGAGGACATCCATACGGCACCTCAGTTTGCCGGTATTGTGATCAGGGTGCATGGACCGATCTGATCTGCTCCATGGACACCACTGAAGGATGGAATCTCAGAAATGGTATTTAAGCAAACTATGGACATAAGCTTTTTAGGACATTAGAATTACATATAAATATTTATAAGAAATTTGAACTATTTTTGACGCTAATGATTCTTTTTATTTAAAAAAAAATAAATCAATTAAATATAAATATTAGCATTGAGCTGATAGATATCTGTTCTTCTGTGGATCATAGAATGGGCAGTAGTAGCTAATGAAGAAAACATTAGGAACTTGCCGCCGCCGTCACAACTCCAATATTGGCCTCAATTACCCCCTCATTGACTGGAGGCCGTTCTCTAACAACTCTCTTCTGTATCGTGTCTTCTCTCTTTCCTTTAATTTTTTATAAGATAGTTTGTGTGCATCAAAGTTACACTCATGGACAAAAAGGAAGTTGTATCTTTCAGCATGTATATCGGGATTACGACAATAACTCTAAAAGATATTACAGTGACCTTTATTGAAGACACACGAGATAACCAAGTGTGAACTACACTCATGGACAAAACTCAAGGAAGTTGTACCTTTTAGCATGTATATCGGGATTACGACAATAACTCTGAAAGATATTACAGTGATCTTTATTGAAGACACACGAGATAACCAAGTGTGAACTACACTCATGGACAAAACTCAAGGAAGTTGTACCTTTTAGCATGTATATCGGGATTACGACAATAACTCTGAAAGATATTACAGTGATCTTTATTGAAGACACACGAGATAACCAAGGGTGAACTACACTCATGGACAAAACTTAAGGAAGTTGTATCTTTCAGCATGTATATCGGGATTACGACAATAACTCTAAAAGATATTACAGTGACCTTTATTGAAGACACACGAGATAACCAAGTGTGAACTACACTCATGGACAAAACTCAAGGAAGTTGTACCTTTTAGCATGTATATCGGGATTACGACAATAACTCTGAAAGATATTACAGTGATCTTTATTGAAGACACACGAGATAACCAAGTGTGAACTACACTCATGGACAAAACTCAAGGAAGTTGTACCTTTTAGCATGTATATCGGGATTACGACAATAACTCTGAAAGATATTACAGTGATCTTTATTGAAGACACACGAGATAACCAAGTGTGAACTACACTCATGGACAAAACTCAAGGAAGTTGTACCTTTTAGCATGTATATCGGGATTCAGACAATATCTCTGAAAGATATTACAGTGACCTTTATTGAAGACACACGAGATAACCAAGTGTGAACTACACTCATGGACAAAACTCAAGGAAGTTGTACCTTTTAGCATGTATATCGGGATTACGACAATAACTCTGAAAGATATTACAGTGATCTTTATTGAAGACACACGAGATAACCAAGTGTGAACTACACTCATGGACAAAACTTAAGGAAGTTGTACCTTTTAGCATGTATATCGGGATTCAGACAATATCTCTGAAAGATATTACAGTGACCTTTATTGAAGATACACTAGATAACCAAGTGTGAATAAAATTGCCTCTGTTTCCATAGATATCAAAGACTTTCCACTTCCTTAAGTTTTGTTTAAGTTTTGAGCATAGAGATTTGCGAATTAAGATGTTTTAAAAGAAACTTATATCCCCGAAACCTAACATTTTTCACTTTAATAAATAAATTCTGTTAAAACACATCGTGTACATTTACCCATGATTGTTTTGTAGCAAATTTTTACAATTTTTTTCAACGGCGTCTTCTGATGAAATAAAACATTTGAGAATTCGAAATTAGGAATCAATGCTATTTTTCTAATATATTTGCGTTCTCAGGTATTCTATGTATGTTCGGAAAAGTAAAATCTTCAGTAAAACATATAAATAATAAACAAAAAAAGCTTCCGAAGATATGTTTCTTGTTTTTTTTTATATTCATCTCAATCTTTCAGGTTCCGCAAACCCTTCTACAGGGGTATATGGTAAACAACTTTAAAAAAAAAATCATATACTGCTGTAGAAAGGTTTGTGAAACCCGAAAGCTTGATATGAATATACAATAAAACAAGGAACTCTCATCTTTGGAAGCCGTTTTGTGGATGCCTTAATGACCAATTTTTTGGTCGTTGAGGTACAGCTTGCACCACGCTGACGAGGGCCAACACCCCGAAACGCGTCCGTGGTTAGCTTTTCTTGATTAATCAAGAATGGGTATTTGGCCAATTCTGGAATAATTAAAAAATCAACGAGAATAGTTGATATTTATTCCGATAGATGGAGCAAGCCATCAGCAACTTTCAGTTGCACAATAAGGAGATGCCTTTTTCTTAATATCTATATATATATCTAAAAGACAAAGGTCGCCTCACCTGTCAAATAGACGTTAAAGCTAGACGCCATCTATTGACCGTCGCCGTTAACTAGCGGCCTCGGGTCGGTGACAAGTTTGCGGCGACGGTCAATAGATAGTATCTAGCTTTGAAGTCTATTTGACGGGAGAGACAACCTTTGTCTTTTTAGATCAATATCCTCCCGGCAAAATTTTCATCTATATATATATGTATGTTAACACAAAGCAATAACGCGCCATCTATACATATAAAATGAAAGTATTTAAAAGCACGAATGTTTCTTTTATACATAATACAAACTTTTACTGTCTTTACTGCGATGAAAAAATATATTGCAGTAAGGGCAGTAGAAGTTTGTATTATGTATAAAAGAAACATTCGTGCTTTTAAATCCTTTCATTTAATATATGTATGTGTCTGGAAAGATGCGGTGGACATTTTCCGAGACATCGTGGATGTCGCTATGATAGATTGGACGTTCAAACCCGGGAAAAGTTGGTCGATCCATTCTGTTTTGAAGGCTAGATTTCACCTGTGACGTTATCCTCGTGGATTTACAACTTTTATAAACGATTTGTCTCTCTAAGTATGGTCAAACAGTAGTTTGTTTCATGGCAAGGACGGTCGTAGTTTCTGCTATAATGAAACAAGATCGTGTTTGGTATTTCTCTCTGTTCTAAGGCCTCAGACCGACAAACGAGGTTATAAAAAATTGAAAGAATTTATTAATTTGAAAGTATAACAAGGCCATTTCACATCCCTCT